TAAAATAAAAAGTTTAATATATGACAACTATTTCCGTTTAATTATAATAATTCTTAAATAGTCCTTTATTTATTGGGGGGGACTGTATATATACTTACTTTAGCTTCTGGTAATTTTGAGAAAGCAAAGTTTCGAGCCTTTGTTTCATCTTCTTGGGATGAATCTTAAAAAATCGATCCAGTAGGTATACTTACCACTGTTTTGGATAAATTATCTAGAGAATTATCCTCTTTATCGATAAATTCTATATCAGGCTTTTTGATGAAGTGATCTATAATTTCTTGAATTTTATTATTAGTTAACTCTGAAATAGAATTCGCACTATAAGTCATAATATACTTGATTTTGTCTATACCTAAGTTTATATATTTTTACAGCTTTCTGAGTTTTCCCTTGCAAGTATTTACATGAAATTCCTGGGAGTTGTAAACCTGTATCTTCAGATCTTTTTTTTACGTATAATGGAAAGACCTAATATTTTATCATGGATAATTCCTTTAGATTTTTTCTCATCGACTTTACCTTTACCATTTTTTATAGTTTCGTTAACTAGAGTTACAAATTCTTTCCCATAGTAGCACCAACATAAAATTTCTTCCTGGTTTGCACAAATTGCACCATGTTCAGCATCAGTTGCTCTATTAAATAATTGAGCTAAAGTAAGCAGTGATAATGTAGAAGAAATTTGTATTTGTTGTTTGAGACCGTGAATCGTTTTGAATACCATCAGATAATCATTTGAGAAATATTTTCTGCACCTTTTTTCCTATGACTATTTTTCGGCAGTGGCGTTCCGACTGAAATTTTAGTCACGGGATTTGATACTTTTGGTATGATCCCTTCGGAATCGGAAGTACCCAGATTCTTGATCTTGGCTGAGAGATGCCTGCTCTGATTTTAAGTTTCTTCTCCTTATTGCGTTGCCTTATTCCATCACTAACGATTTTCTTATCAGCCTCAAGCAAGAAATTATTCATCTTCGCAGAGTTGGTAGGTACCGTTATCGCCTCTGGTACTGCAACTGAATTGAAGCTAGGTGAACTATTGTTAGAAGAATTATCATTTGCCGTTAAGGCGTTTTGCAGAGTCTGCTTCTGTTCCACTTTCGTGATTCTATCTCCAAACTTAGATTCCATCTCCTCGATTCTAGCCCTGAGTTTGGCATTTTCAGCATCACGCCTCTCGTTATATTCCTTATTCGCTCTTAGAAACTCGGCATTCCTGCGCTTAAGTTCAGCTATTTCAGCATCAGACACTGAGTGCTTGATTCTAAGACCGGAGATCTCAGTATTCTCCTTCCTAAGCTCTGCATTCTCAGCCTCAAGCTTGTCGTTCTTAGCTTCAAGCTCAGTGATACGCTGTTTCAATAATTCAAGCTCGGATGGCATGATACATATATAACTAATACAATGTATATAATTTTTATTATTACATATGAAAATTAAATATAAATTGGAACTTTAACCCTTGATGGAATTCTCTATTCTAAGGTTTTTAAAGAAAATACAGTATCGCACGTAATCACAGTATATAATATAAAAAAGAAACCTACATAACTAACTCCGAATTCGTCTTATATTTGAAATTTGGTATAAAAATAATTTTAATATTTCCACAATGGAACCCCAGGTTCCAATACATTTAATTCTCTTATTTCCCAAATTATACTCTGTATTGCAAACCATATGTGAATTACAGCACAAAATGCAGAACCTATGTCTAAACTACAGCAATTTATTTCTACTGGGCCAAACGTGCGAATCGCAATTATCGCTGATAAAAAAACCTTTTCTATTTTGCCTTCCAACTTGGCGATATAAACATAGCACAAGCAAGCTGTACCTAATCCCCAAAAAATACAAAGCATTAAAAAGAACCTATGTACATACTTTGCGATCATTCGAGTTGTTTGAAAGGAGAGCATCAGAATCATAATCGTGTACATAAGTAATGTCAATACATTGACGCCAAACTCTTGAAGTATTGGTGCACCGAAGGTAAAAACTCTCACCATTATCGCCTTATCATTGAGACCTTCCTTGAAACTTGTGATCAATGCGGGAATAGCCAAACATCCAAGAATGCCTTTTATTATTCGAACTAAGATAGTAATCTTGTGTTTCTTATTCCTAATCACATGAACCAATATCTTCAATGTCTTTAAGATATCACTTGCATTATTTAATTCCTCATGATTCATAGCTTCAGAGAAAAATTCAAAATCACTCATGATAATGGCGAGGACAGAATCATCACACCCTGAAATTCCAGTGGTTATTAAATTTAATATGTTACAGGGAAAACCAGGTTCAGTATCATGAGTTTCACTGCTATCCGGTCCAACTATATGCATGCCACCCATATACGGTCCAAATCTATCTACATGACTTTCGTATGCGTACGTAGTCGTCGTAGCATTATTATAACAGCAGCACTTGGTAAAGGATTGGTAAACCGTATTCACTATACCTAATACTGGCGTTATTAATGCCCAAATAGTAAAAATAATCTCATATGAATCGCTACGGGAAATATCCATCTTCGTTATAAGAGTAATTTTGCGAAGAAGGGAATAACCAGTCTCATTATTACGAGCAGAGTTTTTTAAAAGACATTGGGGTGTTTTCTGTACATATTTGCACAGTGTACATGCGGCCGCATTTGCATTATTTTCGAGTGAAATTTCCGGATCACGAGAACTCCTGCATAAATGTAAAAAAAAGTAAGTTAATTGGGAAAAATTCGCGAAATTACGCGAAATTTGTAAAAATCGCCGGTCCATCTTAAAGTTGTACGGAGCTAACATTGTTTCAATATAACGTAACTTAAAATTTTATATAGTTAAATAGCAAGTACTTATAAATAAAAATTTTAATTTTAATATATTTTTATTAAAAATTGAATGTTTTATTAATGAAAAAAAAAATATCCAACTATTTTTTTTATTTAAATAAAATTTTTTAAAAAAATATAAAATAAACAAATTAGTCAAAATATTATATAAGTAATAATTATAAATAATAAATTATCAATAAGTAATAACTATAAATAATAATTATAAATAATAAATTATTAATAAATTATTTTTTATTAATTGGATTAATAAGATATAAATTTCTTTTTCTCTTATTAGAAGAATTGGATTCTTCATTATTTTGATTTATATTTTCTGAAGATTCAATAGAAAATCTTTTAAAACTAGATAATAAAAATTTTTACAATAACTTCTAATAATAAAATATATTATATAATTATAATACTTATTAATATT